ACACTACAAGAATTTATGTTTTACTTTTTAAAATGACAAAAACGACAAAGTAATCATTTGATTTGGTCGTTCAAGAAATTACGACAGAAGACGATCGAAAAGAATTGCAGAGCAGAATTAGAGTTTGGGGGAGGCTGGAACGATCCCCATCAATTTATCAAAGACACATAAGTTTTAAAATACCAAAATAAAACCGCGAAACTTTTCCAAAAGATGATTGATGTCCTTCTTGAAAAGGTGATTACTTAGCTTAGACAGGTAGAAAACTAAAGAAAAAGATTGTGCTAAGCAAGGGAACAAGTCTATAAAATTTGAAGTGTCTTAATTCAATGCTACATTTTTTACCTGGGATCAAAGATTTAGAAATCAAGGAGCTGGTAAATGATCAGCATTGAACCCCAATAAATATAAACAAGGATGAATTTTACTTTTTGCAGTATCATAGTAGTATATCCCTTAATCATGATCGAACTACGTAAGACAGTAAGGATTGTTAACAACAGTAAGTGCAAAAATTTGAACTCGCCTAAAGCTACCGAAAATCAGCACATGATAATAATAAAAGTCGGTACGCAAGTACATTGACTTGTGAGGTAGAATTCAGGCGACCAAATTTGGACTGGCACGAGTTATGCAAGAAAACACTACACAATTGGATAGTTCTAGATGACAACGGTTTTAACCAACACTCTACGATAGGGCGGGCATTTTTAAACTGACACAATACAACAATAGTAGCGTACTTAATAAAGCTCATTACACAAGTCAATTGTCTACGAAACAATACTCAATTAAAGTAAGTGTAGGCCAACTTTTTATGGTAGAGCCTTTCCATAAATAATATACCAAAATAGGCCCAACATCTTATAAATAGTACGGACGCATCCGTTGATTATTGAACTTGTTACCCGTATGAATAAAACTGCGTAACAATCTTGCTCAGTGGTAAGCGATCAAATATAGCGATTTGTCAAACGTATCTTAAATGTGTTACAAGTCCGAAAGTATAGAACTCTCAGTGAGGATTCAACTCACTACTCGATTGTAATTTAGCGAGTCAAGCTTGCTAACCATTAAGGCTTAAAATATAGACGCATAAATGCATTGTAGTAGAGTATGAAGTGATGCAGGAACGCACTACACAATCCATTTGTTTAGCGGGAAAAAATTGATAGTCATATATCTATATTAGGTACCATAGTTTATATTGACATAAGACCACTGAAGGATCATCATTGGTGATCGAACATCTCGATAGAGGAGAATAGCAGCAATTCAACGCTATATACCCTAATATTTTCGTTGAATATTGGGTCAGATTGTTGAATGCTAATTTGTGATATGTCTATTTAGATACTTTTTTTTATTAATTCACCTCAAACAAGGAGATAATGACACTAAGATACAAGGGGCCACTGGGAGTGAAATGGAATGAAAAGTACTTTGGAAGGGACCGGAAATCCAGTCTAAAACAGAAACACGGGATAAACTACTACTCCTGTTCAAATAGTCTGTGTGTGTATGTGTGTATGTGTGTGTGCGTTCGGACGTTACGGATAAACCGAAAAAATAATCATTTTTTAAAAAAAAATTTTTTTATTTTTGCATAGGTCACCGAAAGACTCTAAGAAATAACATACGATATTTGCGGTTGTCTTCAAAGGTCATTGGAGATCAACAGATATCATCAGGTGTCACAGGATGCCATTTCTAGGGAAATAAAGCGATCTCTAGACAAAGAGAGTGATATATTGAGTTCGCTATGAAGCACAAAAATGTTTTCTGATCAGAAGGGCAAAATAGGGTCATATTTGACCACTAAGGTCATAGCAAGTCATTTGAGGTAGAATTACTTTGTGACTTTTATGACTTATACAGACAGCAAAGAATTATATTCATGGTGATAAACGATAACTTTGGCAAAAAAACAAGATAGGCGGTGCTGACCCCTGAAGTCACTGGAGGTCGGCAAATGTCAATTTTATATAAAATGACATTTTCTCAACCGAATAAAAACAATTAAATGGTTTAACATTTTATCTTGTTTATAAAATATTGAGTCTCCGTGGGTAGAATTTCTAAAACATTTCAAAATTAAAGACGATTTTGTCAGCGGTTTAAATGCAAAACATTGCACGCAACTACAAAAACAAAATTATCATTGGTCTTGTGTGCAAGGCATTCTTATTCCTATGAATAATGCAATCAAATAAATCTATTGAAACAGTTTCTTGTGTAGTCTCATCTGTACAAGTCACTTGCTAGTTCTGGACACCTTTGGAACA